TCCGGGCTGGAGAGCAGCCCCCCCCCCCTCCTCCTCCTCCTCCTCCATCATCGTTGCCGCCTCCTCCTGATACACCCGCGCCGCCAGCTCCTCCCCCCCCTGGGTATCACCCTCCGTCCGACCCTCAGATCGCCAAGTTTGCACAAAAGAAGAAAGAATGGCTTCGGGATCGTCGAAACAGATTTGGAGAGAAGCGAAAGGCCGGCTTTGTTCAGACTCAGAAGGCTGATATGCCGCCTGAACATCTTCGCAAGATCGTTAAAGATATCGGAGATGTGTCTCAAAAGAAATACACCAATGACAAGCGCAGCTATCTTGGTGCTCTAAAGTTCATGCCACACGCAGTCCTGAAACTTCTCGAAAATATGCCTATGCCTTGGGAATCAGCGCGCGAAGTCAAGGTTCTGTATCATGTCAACGGATGTTTGACTTTGGTTAACGAGACTCCTCGCGTTATCGAACCCGTCTTCTTTGCGCAATGGGCAATGATGTGGACCTTCATGAGAAAAGAAAAAGCCGATAGAAGGCTTTTCAAGCGTATGCGCTTCCCTCCATTCGACGATGAAGAACCGCCTTTGTCGTGGTCCGAGAACATCGAGGACGTGGAGCCTCTGGAGCCTATTCAAATGGAGTTGAACGATGAGGAAGACGAGGCCGTTTATGAATGGTTCTACGACCATCGCCCACTGTTGGATACCTCGCATGTTAATGGTGCCAGCTACAAGAGATGGAACCTCACCCTGCCTCAAATGGCAGCTTTGTTCCGTCTCAGTCGTCCATTGATTTCTGACGTTGTAGACAAGAACTACTTCTACCTTTTCGACCTCAAGAGCTTCTTAACTGCAAAGGCTCTCAATGTTGCGCTTCCAGGTGGACCCCGTTTCGAGCCATTGTACAAGGATATTGATCCTAATGAGGAAGACTTCGGCGAGTTCAATGCTATAGATCGCATCATCTTCCGAACCCCGATCCGTACTGAATTCCGAGTCGCATATCCATTCCTGTACAATTCTCTCCCAAGAAGCGTACACCTGACGTGGCACTCGCACCCCCAAATCGTATTCAATCGTGCCGACGATCCCGACTTGCCAACTTTCCTTTTCGACCGACGAATCAACCCCATCTCATCCCGAACCGTGGCGCCCAAGAATGTTGAAATTACACTTGAGGATGAACTTTTCGGACCAGGAAATAATGAAGAACCTGAGGAGGATGCGTTTGAGCTGCCTGCTGCGGTTGAACCCTTTCTTGCTGACGAAGAGCTTGAAAACGAGCATACATCCTCAGCCATTGAATTATGGTGGGCTCCTTTTCCGTTTGATAGACGCTCTGGAAAGATGGTTCGCGCTCAGGATGTGCCCTTGATCAAGCAATGGTACTTGGAGCACCCGCCCTCCGACCGACCGCCTGTGAAGGTTCGAGTTTCTTACCAGAAGTTACTGAAGAACTTCGTTCTCAATGAGCTTCATAAGAAGAAGCCCAATGCACACAATAATCAGAACTTGTTACGCTCTCTTAAACAGACCAAGTTCTTTCAACAGACGACCATTGATTGGGTTGAAGCTGGCCTTCAAGTTTGCCGGCAGGGTTTTAACATGCTTAACCTCTTGATCCACAGAAAGAACCTGACATATCTTCACCTGGACTACAATTTTAATTTGAAGCCTGTGAAGACACTCACAACCAAGGAGCGAAAGAAGTCTCGATTCGGAAACGCATTCCATCTTATGCGTGAAATTTTGAGGTTGACAAAACTGATTGTGGATGCCCAAGTTCAGTACCGTCTTGGAAATATTGATGCCTTTCAACTTGCTGATGGCATTCATTACGCCTTCAACCATGTTGGACAGCTCACTGGAATGTACCGATACAAATACAAGCTCATGCATCAGATTCGTACTTGCAAGGATTTGAAGCATCTAATTTATTATCGATTCAACTCCGGTCCAGTGGGCAAAGGTCCTGGCTGTGGTTTCTGGGCTCCCTCATGGAGAGTGTGGCTCTTCTTCATGAGAGGCATCATCCCATTACTTGAACGATGGCTTGGTAACCTCTTATCTCGTCAGTTTGAAGGTCGACACAGCAAGGGTGTGGCAAAGACAGTCACGAAGCAGCGAGTCGAGTCCCATTTTGATTTGGAATTGCGCCAGTCCGTCATGTCTGATCTGATGGATATGATGCCGGAGGGTATTAAACAAAGCAAGGTCAGCGTTGTGCTCCAGCATTTGTCTGAAGCTTGGCGTTGCTGGAAGAGTAACATTCCCTGGAAGGTCCCGGGCCTGCCTGCGCCGATCGAAAACATTATTCTTCGATATGTCAAATCAAAGGCTGATTGGTGGATTTCTGTTGCTCACTACAACCGTGAACGAATTCGTCGTGGAGCAACCGTGGATAAGACTGTCGCGAAGAAGAATGTTGGGCGTCTGACTCGACTATGGCTCAAGGCTGAGCAAGAAAGACAGCATAATCACATGAAGGATGGCCCATATGTGTCCTCCGAGGAAGCCATCGCAATTTATACAACTACTGTTCACTGGCTGGAGTCCCGGAAATTTTCTCCCATTCCATTCCCCAGCGTTTCGTACAAGCATGACACCAAGATCTTGATCCTGGCCTTGGAGCGTTTGAGGGAGGCCTACTCAGTCAAAGGCAGACTGAACCAGAGTCAACGTGAAGAGCTCGCATTGATTGAGCAAGCTTATGACAGCCCCGGCACCACATTGGAAAGAATCAAGCGATTCTTGCTCACACAGAGGGCTTTCAAAGAAGTCAATATTGATATGAACGACAACTATAGCACGATCAATCCTGTATATGATATCGAGCCCATAGAGAAGATCAGCGATGCTTATCTTGATCAGTATCTGTGGTATCAAGCTGACCAGCGACATCTGTTTCCTGCCTGGATCAAGCCATCAGACTCTGAGGTGCCACCGCTGTTGGTCTACAAATGGGCCCAGGGCATTAACAACCTGAGTCAAGTTTGGGAGACAAAAGATGGAGAATGCAACGTCATGGTTGAAACCGAGCTTTCCAAGGTCTACGAAAAGATGGAGTTGACGCTTCTCAATTCCCTGCTGAGACTCATCATGGATCATAACTTGGCTGATTACATTACTGCCAAGAACAATGTGCAACTGACATATAAGGATATGAACCACGTCAACAGCTACGGTATGATCCGTGGCCTTCAGTTCTCAGCCTTCGTATTCCAGTACTATGGCTTGGTCTTGGATCTGCTCTTATTGGGACCTCAGCGGGCTAGCGAGATTGCTGGCCCTCCCCAGAGTCCTAACGATTTCCTGCAGTTCCGTGATCGAGAGACAGAAACAAGGCACCCAATCAGACTCTACAGTCGTTATATTGACAAGATCTGGATCTTTTTACGATTTACCGCCGAAGAGTCAAGAGATCTTATCCAGCGCTTCCTCACTGAGCAACCTGATCCTAACTTTGAGAATGTCATTGGATACAAGAGCAAGAAGTGCTGGCCGAGAGACTCTCGTA